AGTCCTCTCCTGCTGATGTTCAGGTGTATATCAGAATGTAGTGTCTCTACTTTAAAGAGTTCTCTCCTGCTTATGTTCAGGTGTATATCAGTATGTAGTGTCTCTACTTTAAAGAGTCCTCTCCTGCTGATGTTCAGGTGTGTGTATATATATATACAATATGTTTTTAATTTTCTCTCCAGAACACACCCATGTCTAAGCAAATACAGCATCGCAACAGCAACCTGCGGGAGCTTCCTGTAGCGCCTGCCAACACGAACATGAACAACGTCCGCCCCGCCGCCAACGTTCGGCCTGTTGCCAAGGCAACACCAGGTGTGCGTCCAGGGCAACAGATGCCCGACGGAGGAAGAGGACGAGGAAGAGGACAGGTCGTTTCCAAGATGGAGTCACAGCCACCCGGAGGAAGGACGGTGGTTCGAAAGGAAATCCCAAGAACACCACTGGTCAGTTTCTTGTAAAAAAAATAAATCAATGAAACCAAAAATATGTATTTCAGAAAATCAGAATCAAGTTTATTGCAAGGTACGTTTACTCGTAAAAGGGTCTTGCTTTGGTGTATGATGGAGCCAAAATGAAACAGCATAAGGAAGTAAGTTGTAGGAGGTCAAAAATACAACGATTATAGAAAGAAACAAATTTTAAAACAAAGATTTAACATAAGAAAAAGAGTATTTACACCAAATATAAATATACAAAAAACTTAGTGAAATGAATATATGATGATATACTGCAGTGTGTTATACTTTGGTAGGGGGTTGTGCAGACATTATCAGTTTTCAATCATCATTTTGAGTTTCCTTCTGAATGTCCGAGAATTGACAAGAACCACTAAACCAATCAGTATGCAGAGAAGAGCTCCTTTTATTCAAAGCCCAATCATAAGGGCGATAATGACATCAGTCTCAATCAATTGAACCAGACCAGATCAATACTATTGCATTTCTTCTCTTGGGTTTTGCCTGTGATTACATCTTTAGTGTTGAATAAAAAGCACACCGTGATTCCCAGCTGTTTTTTGTTCCACAGGACCCCAACGAAGACGAGGAAACCCGGCAGTACCGTTTGAAGATCGAGGAACAGAAGCGTTTGCGAGAAGAAATTCTGAAAACGAAGGAAATTAGACGACAAATGCAAGCCGGCGTCAGAAAGAAGGAGTTGCTCGAAAGGATCAGTTCTCAGACTCCGACACCACAGATTCAACCTGCACAACAAAACCAGCAAATGCCACAACCTGTACAGCAACAACAACAACAACAACCACAACAACTACAACAAAGACAACAACCCACCACCACAGCAGCCGCAGAGACAGTTGCCTCAGAGAGCCCCACAACCTTTAAATCAGACTTTTAAGAATCCCATTCAAGTCATCCCTCCAAACGGCAATCCTCAGATTCTCATGCCACGACCTAATGTGAAAGCACGCCTTCAGATGGTGAAAGGTAACATCCAGCAACAACAACAACAACAACAACAACAACACACCCCTCAAGTGCATGTTCCAGATCAGCAATGGATTCAACAAAACCCCCAACAGCGAAGGAACTGCGTTCAGATCAGACCTGGAGCTCAGATACAGACGCTTCCTCAGAAGAACATCCCGGTAACTCCTCAAATTCAGACTCCAGGACCTCCTCAAGCGGGCGCCAAAAGAACCGTAATGCAGCGGACCAAAAGCGTCGATGACCAGCCGGTGCCACAAAAAGTCAGAGTCGTCAAACTTTCCGGAGCGGTGAGCATTTCATTTTGTATCCGCCACCTTCAGATTTCGCCCCACGAGGGAAAACGACTGATTGCCGCCACACTGTATTTTGTAATCTAAAAGATGTCTAACCTATGGGAATGACAGGCTGATGTGATGTGTCATTTTGGTAAGAATTGATCTGTAGAGACACAATGCTTTCACGCACATCTTGCCTTAAGATCACAGGAAAGGCTGGAGGCATTAAAAGAGGCAGAATGACATTTATCTGCAGAGTTAGGGACAGCTCGTCACTGCCTTTAAAGGTTGATATCCTTCTTTAAGGGCAGCACTTTGAAAGATATAGAGACACCAACAAGTCCGGATACATCTCACACTGCCTCCATAAGTTACTGCTGTGGCCTTAATTACACATTCATCGTTATTGAAAAAGCACAAAGGCATGCATGTTTAACACTTGTCACCGACGATGAGACGACATGTGATACTATTTTTGAAAATAAGCCGCTTTCCCGACTCCCATCCCAGAGGATCAAGCTGCTAAGAGAAGCAAAATCTCACTCTGGCTGCAGATGAAGATAACTGGGTGTCAGCGTGGTAATGGAAACCTGCACACAGCTATCTGATGTAGCGCATCGTGGAGGGGAAAGGGAGAGTGGGATGTGAAAATGTAGAGACTTGTCTTGATGCTCCCTCTTCCACATTGTTCTGCTGTCATCAGCCAGCGCTTGACAATGTTATCTCGTCTCCTTCTCCCCTTTTTCTCTTGCTTCCTTGCCCCATCTCTCAGGTGCGAGGCAAACCCACAAAAGGATGCCAATCCAAAAAACCCTTGTAATTAATCTTTCTTGCTTGAACGCCGGAGACATAATACCTGCGTAAGAAAGTTGCCACTTTTGAGGATTTGGATTTGTATGGCTTAGGCGCGCAGATAAGAGGCAAATTATATTTTCATCAGGGATAATACAAAGCAGCGCAAGGAGACACAAAAGATGTGGGAATTTGGGGGGGGTGGGGTACACATCGAGCTGCTGTCGGCCCAGTGTAATGCAGCTTAGCATTTGATGGGTGCAATCAGGAGCTGTGATTTCTATAGGAGGGATTAATCCATTTACTCTCAACTGGGGACAGGTCAGAGATATCGCCTCCTTTCTCCCTCTGTATTGATCTGTCACATCTCTGCAGAGTCGCGGGATGAACAAGAGACGACCTTCAATTCCTCCTCTTCCCCCGCTCTGTCAACACACTCGAAGCTGTGACTTTATTTGATAATGAGACCATCACCTTGTTGGGTGGATCTTTATTCCTCGCAGCATGTTGGATAGGGATCCAACGCTGCCACTTTGCAGATATGGCCTTGTATTTCCCTCTTTGCCTGAACGATTGAATATGATTGTGATGCCTGCAGATTGATAGGAAGAAGCCTGGGATTCGGTGTGTTGGAGGGGCTGAGTGAGTGTTATGAGCAGTCAGAAAAACAACCCGCATCCACATTAATGATCCATCGTAGTCCATTAAAGAGAACTGAGAAAATAGTAAACTTTTAAACTAGGCCTGTCAAACGATAACAATTTTTAATCAGATTAATCGCAGCTTAAAAATTAATTAATCAGATTAATCACCANGCTGAACTGTATAACATAAAAAGGCACACGTGCTGAAGACCCAACCCCAGAAGGGGGTCTGGGGTGTTAGTATTTCAAAAAATCTCCTGGGGGAGAATCCCCCCAGACCCCCTTCTGGGGTTGGGTCTTCAGCACGTGTGCCTTTTTATGTTATACAGTTCAGCTTTGATTCCATCATCTCATTAAACCTTATTTAAAAGCATTCTTTTTGTTCTGTGAAGGGATATAAGGGATATATGCACTGTTGAGAACCACTGCTCTAAAGTTAAAAGAAAATATGATGGTTCTCATACTGTCCATATGAAAACAACTGTATTGAACCTCTGAAAAGGTCCTTTTTAACACCTGTCTATTAAAGCTGCCCATTTGAAAACCCAGTTTGCTCTGATTGGCTACGAGGTAAACTGGCAAAAGACAATTTCAATCCGTTTGTGAAGATTGGTGCCTGTTCTTAGCCCACTAAAAACTGGGTTACTGTCTTATTTCGCAGTTTGAGTTTTGGCAGGAACTCTGAATACCCAACTCTGTGAGCACAAGCAGTGAAAAAGTACGTTTTTGATGATATGTCCCTTTTAATGTGTCGCTTGTTGTTCAGGTCAAAATAAGTGGGCTAAGGTGAAATACAGATAAAGCGAGACACATGAAAACAAAGAACAATAGGATGAAGCAGAAAGTGGATGAAAGTTACTATTACTTTATAAGCTTAACGCATCATCTCTGTCCCTCAGCAGGAAGGTAGCGAGAGCATGAAAGATTTAAAGAGAAGGCTTTTAGTTTAAACCTGGCCCAAAGACGCACACTGAGACATCGAAGAGAGATGAGCAATACCACACTATCTCGGACTGAGCTTATCATGACAATCATTATACGGTATACATATTATCACTAAAATCAGTGGATAAAAACCGTAACATTGAACAACAGACAGTTGTTTTATGCAACAAAACTGTGTTGAGTCAAGCACTCCAGTTGAAAGCCAGTGCTTGCTACAGTAGATGCTGCACTTACCTTTCTCAGACACATTTAAAAATGTATAAGGGCTAAAGACAAGCACTGCCTTAAAACAATGGGATGACCATCCTGCAGTTCTGCTCTGTGTTGGGTTGAGTGAGCTGAGTGATCCTGAAGGCAACATTTGGTCTGAAATAAGTTGAGGTGGAGAAGGTTCACGATAAAAGCTTCCATGTTTCCTCACTTCCAGTATATGCATCCATTATGTACCAAACTATATGCAGTGCACTACATGTGATCCTGCACAAGCCAGGAGGTCGTTGCTGTAAATAACATGTTCTTAGTCACCTTGTCCCGTGGAATTACAGTTAAATATAAAAGTGATTAAACACGTCTTATGAGCATTCAGGAACACAGTCGTGCATTAGAGTATAACAGCAAGAAACTCACACTAAAACATTTTCACAGCCAAATACATGTACACACTCAAACACACAGAGAGACTATACATAAACACATTATACGCATTAGAAACACACAAGGCAGCCAGCCATGCGCTAAGCCTGGGTTGACAGAGTTCATTTGGAAGATGTAAAATATTTATGAGAGAAGACTCTGCAGGGGAGGAAAAAGAGATGAAAATAGTGAGGGTGCAACGGGATAACAAATAAGGAAACGAATGAAACGATGAAGAGCGGGCACAACTGGAATGCCCTCTGTTACGGCTGAGCGGAAGAAATGCAAGCTAAATAAGTCATTGTCATTTCAAGTTCATTAGCTCACTGCGTGCCATCCCCCCTGGGACAAAGGAGAGAAGGGGAAAGGTTTATTTGGACAGTAGGAAAATCCCTGAGCACTTGTATAATGGAATACAAACTGATATGAATACATTATTCATAGACAGAAATAAAGAGTGTGGAACAGCCATTGGTAATAATGGTTCAAATGACAGTGTTTGTGGGGGGACATGATGCTCGGACACACAGAGGTGATATCTATAGATGGTTTTAGGGGGTTTCTCTGAACAAGTGAAACAGACTAGGATAAGTGAAAGAGGCTTCTAATAGAGAGAGGAGAAAGGAAAGAAGAAAAAATTAAATAGATTTAGGTAATAAAAACTAATCCTGTTACAGCAAATAGGATGACAATTGACAGTAATGACATATTCCCCCTGTAATTATGAGCATTTGACTGCGCCCCTCTTCTCATAAGGCCTTCACGTAATCCTCTGGTCATTCCCGTTCCTCCATCTTCAGAAAGTGAATCTAAAGATCTAAATAGCCGACTGTGGTCAAGCAAAATAAGCAAACCACCATGAAGTACACAGGGCTTTCCTTAGCCACAAATGAAGTAAAGGAAATTATGTCACATAAAACCATAACTATCTAATTACAGAAAAATGTGCTTAGAAAGCAGAACATCTAATAAGAGATGAAAGTTGGAGTGGAATCAGAGAAATAAGGAAAGCTGCTTCACCACAAACTGGGAGTGGGAGATATAAAGAGGCTGCAATGCACAGTTAGAACAACCCATCTGGGTATTCTAGAAGAACTAATGTTATGGGGGACCAGGAATCTCTGCAGTTAAAGTCAATTATACAGTGGAGATACCGAAAATGTACCGGATGGAGAGGGAGAGATGCTGCAGGATCACAGCACACTAAAGCATGGAAAACTGTGCTAGCTAAGCCTCAAGGAAGCCAATAAAACAACATACAGATTTCACTGTAATTACATTCGAACTCGGAGCAAAGGAAGTGGGGGGACGGTTAAAGTGAGTGTGAGAAAACGGACTCCCACAGGAAGACTTTATAAGAAAACTAACAGGATTTAATCTTTAAATCAGCTGCTTATAAAATCCACTTTTTAAGAAATTATTTATGTTATCAATATTGCACACATGTGTAGCTGCATAAACAATGAAGATATTCTCATATTTTTGGATTGTGTTCAAGAAACACACGGCTTTAATGCTTAGGCTACAAAATGGCTGGTAAAATTAGATCAGAAAAATATCCAGTCATAAAATCGCAGACAAGTACCAGAAACAAACAAGCAATGTGTTTTGGAGAGCATCTGTAAGCATGCAGTAAATTTCACATGAAAAATAAATGAATTGACAACTTCCTCTACAGGAGTAGATAGGGGAAGAATGCCTCAAAGGCAAACAACGACTAAGGGAGAGAGAAAGAGAGGAGAAAATAATTACGATAATGGAAACTGTGTGAATCGTTTATCTCGATAAGAGAAAACCTTCAGGAAATGATGTGCGCCAAGTAACAATAAAGAAAAAATAACTATTGTGTGGAGCCATTTGCCTGGAGCAGCTATAAACAAAATCCTCCAAAATGACCAATTTAAAAAGCCAAAGAGGGAACAGTCAGACGGAGGCAGATGTGCGAGAGATGTGGAGAAAGTAGCAACTGTTCTGAATCCCAAGTATAGAAACATGCTCCTAG